ACTTTAGGCATTCAATTTAAAATCAAAATGTAAATAGATCCTGTTAATCCCATACCTGCATACCATCGAATGATTTATTACTAGAAACTTGGAATCTCTTTATGAGTATCTGAAAAAAGTGAGAAAAGGTACRTCAAATAGATAAAATTATAAACACCATAAAATATTTGGGTAATATTAAATTATTAATTATTGATTTATCGACTGATGCCTGTATGTTTATATCAGAGTCAGAATCCAAGAATTCTTAGTGTATAATTTAAACATAATGTTTTGAAGTAAACAATATATTATTAATAATTTTTACCAATAAAGTCACTCTACCTGTTGCTCAATGTTATAAATACACACAAATTTTGATCTCCCCCCAGCAAGAATACACTGACCATCGGCTGTGTAGCACACACTATTAAAACACCTTAAACAAAATACCAATAGTTTAACCAAATGACACAACAATATCTATCATAGTTAATATTCAATAATTTKAAATAAAATAATTTGGTTGAATAATGAGTATTTTGATTAAAAAAAAATGGAAAAATGGCAGATACTATTGGCTGAAGTTCTTACTCACTGCATAAACCAAGAACAAATGAAAAGCTTACTTTCCAAATGAAGCTGATTTTGCAGTTATCAGGTCAGTCTTTCTTCTGCCTCCACCTAAATCTTTACGGCCATCTACTGATTTGACTTGGGTTGCCGATTGTATGTCCCAGAATGTCACAGTTCCATCCAGAGTCGATACAGCTATCTGCTTTCCATCTGGTCTAATGCTAATGGTAACAACTGTTAAAAAAACAATAATTGATCAATCAACTAACATTATCAATTAATCAATAAATCATCAATCAATCAACCTATCAATTTATCAATCAATCCACCTATCAATTCATCAATTGGTCTTTTAGTCAGTCTGCATAGTCATTGAGAAAGTCAACCATTTATTAGTCTGTCCATCCAACATTTAATCAATCAACCAGCCTACAGTATCAATCAACCAACCTATCAATTAATCAATCAATTGGTCTTCTAATCTGTCTGTCCATTAAATAAGTAAACCAATCAATCAATTATTAGTCTGTCCTTCCAACAGTCAATCAGTCAGTCAATCAATCAACCATCTAGGAATATTATTATCAATCAATTAATAAATTAGTAAATCCATAGATCAATTAATCAATCAATCAACCAATCAATCTGTCATTCAGTGGATCAATCACAATACAAACGTCATAATCCTACTATCATTACAAAATATCAATCATACCGTCTGATGTAAGATCAAGWGTTTCACGGCTAACATTGCTCTCAAACATATTCCACACTTTAACTGTCTTGTCCCATGAAGATGATATCAATAGAGGTTGAGCTGGGCTGAACTCCAACCCTGAAACTGGTGCCTCATGTCCAGACAGAACTTCCAGCAAACGACCAGTTTGCATGGACCAGACAAAAATTTCAAATGTATCTAATGAACCTGCACTGACAACATCTCCACTTTTATCCAAAGCCAGGCAAGAAAACTGTGCTGGACGTGGTGAGGTAAATGTGCGGAAATTACGATATCTATAATCAAAAAGAGTGATCAAAATCATATAACAATATAGTGTTACTACAAAACAATTTGATGTTATCAAGACTCTCTCAAAACTGAATTGAAGTTAKCATGTTTTTATGGTTGGACTCACTYAAATTGCCATAGATTGAAGCACTAATATCATACCTATTAAGGTCAAATGCCCTSACAGTGCCATCAAGAGAAGAGCTGAGAACTACTTGTCCATTAGCATTAAATAACACAGCTGTTACTGCTGCTGAGTGTTCTTTGAACGTCACAAAACAGAARCCTGTCATAGTATTCCAAAGCTTGACCTGTAGTCAAAATGATATACAATGTTATATCAATTGTTATAGCAATATCAATTTTTTTGATATACTGGAGCATGTAATTAACCATCAAGTGYGTCATTAACCATCCTTTTGAGGTTTATTTACCAGTAACAGTCATTGTGTGATTATTGATAGTTTGAAAAGAGAGAAGTATATGATCTAAATTATGATCATCTAAGTGTACAGTAATTCAAGCAAGCAACTAAAAACCTCCACTCAATACCAACTACCATATTGTGATTAGATTAGACAAATTATGGCAAGTATAAAAGAATTGCAAGCCAATAACATAAATTTCTTCTGTGACACTCACAAAAACTTTTGACATTATTTTTACACATTCCAGTTCTTACCTTTGCATYGTCTCCACCAGTTGCTATATAATTTCCATCTGGAGAATATGCCAGGAAATTCATGTCATAGTAATGACCTTGTTGCTTTAGTATATAACTCTCACTTTGCCATTCCCATACCAGTAACTGGCCAATGTTAGCGCAACCAAATGCCAGCCATTCACCTGATGGATTGACAGCTACCGATGACACTGTCTTCTGTGATATACTGAAACGTAATTAAGTGGTGCCTTTTAAGCCATCCATTGAGTTATCACTTTCCATTAGGTGCCACAATAAAAGTCCAAAATATAGCTTTTTTTGATATCATGATTCCCTGCATCATCTTGAAAGGCAACCATGTTGTTGCATGAAAGCGCGACAACCGTTGAGCATGCAATGATAGAAACCTTCTTTCACACCAACAGACAAGTGTTCACAGATTCCTAACAGTATGGCTACCTTTCAAGATGGTGCAGTGAACCCTGAACGAGACCACTGTCTATTCCCCCTCTCTTCAGTAGACAACCTCTGTTACATGGACATTGGAAAGCCCTAAAGGTGTCCACTTTATTCTTAGTTTATGCAACACCATCAAAGAGGTTATTTTCTGAACTAAATAAGTGCAGTAAATTCTTTGTAAATGACTGTTACTTATCTTATAAGGAATCTTTACCTTAAGGTTTGAATTAGATTAAAGTCTGGCATTTCATGTATTGTAAACATGCCATTTGAAAATCCCACAATCAGTATTTGRCTTGGTTTATGCATTGTACAACTTGTGACATTAGTGAAATTTTCTTTTTCAAAGAAGTGCCTGAAGTTATGAGCAAAATATAYATTATAACATAGCTGAAATATTGTTACTATATCATAGCATGAAAAAACAATATCAAATAATACAAATACATTATTCTTATCATAATGTAGAATAACAATTTTCAAATTACATGTACAACATTTTTATTATTTCCAAAACTATAATCTTATTAAAAATAATTTCTCTCACTTACTTTCCTTCCTTGCTATAACTGACAAGTGAATCTAAATAAAAGGAAAATATATCATGAAAATCATTGCAAACATTGTTTAGGGAATGCTGTACAGATCAAGGATTTTATAGATAAAATGACAAAGGCAATTGATAGAAAATTAATTCTTTAGTTATTTTCAAGGTCATTACCTTTATCTCTTTCATTATCTTCTTCTTTGGATTTATCTTTTGCAATGATTTGTTCAGGACTTGTGGAGCATTTCCATTTTAACAGGATTCCATTACTACCTATTGTGTATGCCTGACAAATGATGTAAGGAAACAGCATAATAATTGTGTTAAATGGGCCAGTACTACCTTAAATAATTATTAAGCTATAAAGTACTTAAATCAAGGGCATCATACTGTGATAGTTGAATGCAGAAACTGGATGTTATTCATCCATCGTCACATCTTGCCCTAGATGTACAGAGAAATGAGAATCATGCTTTAGTCTATAACCCTTGGCATCCAACACACCCTACATTTAGTCCCCATGCATTCCGGTCCCATTCCTATCTATTAATGCAAAGGATACATCAAGGGTACTTCCAACAAAAAAACATCCTACAACAGAATTGCGATGACCTGACAGAGTGACAGGTTTAAAGTTTTCCATTGGATTRAGTGAGTAAATTCTTGCAGACATATCCTTGCTACCAACTATAAAAAACCTGAAAAAAATAAAAAGTAAAACTTAAAACAATATTACATTCTGACGTGTGTACACTAGGTGATTGATGTCAAGATTATACCTGGAGTCAGCTGACCAGTCAATGCATGTGGCATCATCATAATGTCCAGTATAYGTCCTGTGCAATACAAATGGAGCAAACTCCTTGGTATGACCAGGTGCAACCCAAACTTGAATGTGTTTTCCATGTGTGACGGCAATATATCTGGTGGATAAACAACAGTTGAGATATCTTAATGATGTATCTGGATTTTATTCATATCATGATCTAGATTTAGGATTTTCTCTGCTTGAAGTACATGTTTATCAAATATTTTTAACTTGAGATAGTAGTGGATAATAGCTACTGTAGTACTACAGTGACCAGAGCTWTGATCTTTATTAAATATACAAACGATGATGGATAAAATTAACAGAATGCTCATTCTTCCTTTCCTTTTCGCCTTGTCTGTACTCTTTTCCCTCCTTCCCCACCCCCAAAACAGTGCAGTTAGYATCTAGCAAGTATGCAGGATATCCAATCCAATACACAACTCAAAGCTCACTTGGGAAAATAAATTATATTATGATTTCAATGTCCCCTTAATGACTACATAAACTTGCATAAATTCTTACTTTCCATTTGGACTGAATTTGATATCTTCTACTGGTTTTTTGAAATTAAAATAATGTAGAGCACACTTTGTTCTGAAGTTAGCAAGAATGCACCGACCCTCTAAAAAAGCAATAAAAAAGAATGATAAAATACACGCAGTTGCAATGGATGTTACTTGTAATTGGCCTTTTGGGAATTCATACCATTCTTCTAGAAAAAGGCTTTCAATGCCTTATAGATTAATTTGAAAATTTTAAAGAAAACAATGCCTTTTTTAGATATATAAACTCTAAGTGTTCATGATTTTTATCTGTATATGATATGTACTGACCTTCATCTACTGTAATCAATGTCGTGTCGTTAGGAGATAAACATATTCTGCTTATGTTAACACGATTCTCAAATGGAAGAGTCCATGATTTATTGCTACAAGAATAGAATTGGAATAAAACAAACAATGAAATAGCCTTGCGCAATCATGAATCTATTAATAATGACCTAATCTATCAATCAATTCTTGATAAGCAATCACACAACATATTCGATAAGTGAGAAATAGAAACTTCTGGTTTGTAATTTTCATTGAACAAGGCTGGTATTGATAAAAACATTCAGATTATGACAAATATAACAGTACTGTCACAGTTTTATTGATTAATCATCACAATTCATCAATCAATCAACCTGTCAATCAACCAATCAACACATAACTGATCACAATCCCGACTKATCATAYAAAATTCACTTACTTTTTCAAATCGAAGACAGTTACTTTGTTTCCAACAGGGCTAACAACACAATCTCCTGTTGTAGTAAACTCAACATTTCCTTTCTGATAAACAGTGCCAAGAAGATTTGAAAACTAGAAATGCATTTTGATCAAAAATCAACCATTTTTGGCCATTTCAAATCGAAGACAGTTACTTTGTTTCCAACAGGGCTAACAACACAATCTCCTGTTGTAGTAAACTCAACATTTCCTTTCTGATAAACAGTGCCAAGAAGATTTGAAAACTAGAAATACAAGTAAAGCACACTTTTGATCCTAATCAATAGAAAACATATTAGATATAACGATAATTTCGCCTAACCTTGAACGAAAACTTCATCTTTTCTGATGAAGTTGACCCCACACGTGCAGCAACAGTGGTCAAAATAACCAGGCGTTCCAAACTATACCGTGAGAAGACTAGCACGAATCAGCACAGGAAACCCGAATTGCACAATAGCCGGAATCCCAGTGAKACAATCAATACGAAACAGTTCCGGGTTTTGTTGATGAGATTTTAAATGGAAATCATGTTGGCGATTGGATGTTTTTCTTTCAATATGAAGGGTCATCAATCTTACCACTGTCACTAGCCTGTCGAGGCTGGTAAAGACGCCTTGACACGACTCACGGCTGAAGAAGGGAACCGTTCTCTTTGTTAACGCATTCAATAAAACAAACAGCAGTTTTAAATAGCAGTTTTAAATGTTTTTTTTTCCCATTTCATCTATTAATTCCCAGTTCTCCTTGGGAATGAAGCGCTTAATCATTTTTTTCATAATCTGTACCATATAAATCTTGTTTTGAACTGGCGAATGGCTCTTTCGAGATTTTTCGAGACCGTGAGAGTTATTAGCCAAGATTTTGAAATTCTAAATTAAGGCCATAACAAGACTAAGACTAATCATTTGCGGAATTAGAAATGTTTTTTGAAATACAAAATTTGATAAAAATAATACAGAAAAAATATTGGTCAAATATGTAAAATGAGTCTTCAATATTACGTTTGTGTACATGTAATTAAGAAATATATATAAATTTGACAATTTGACGTTATATTATATGTAGGGGAGGATCATAGGATTTTCTTAGGGCACACGGAGGGGTGCACTCCACAAAGGATGATCCAGATATATGTTATGAATTATGCAACTTTCATGTGATTGCACACACCGTGGCAATACGTGCATTCCATGCATATTTTAGTCCTTCGCAGTGCTATTGAATCGACTGAATGACTTTTCTAATAATTTTCAGGTTTAAAAATCTGACATTACGAGACCAATGGTCTAAAATAATTATCTGAGAYTGGCAAAATTAGGTGGAAAACGAAATTTCAAGACTTTGAACAAAATTCGAGAATAAGAAAATTACTAAATGGTTTGAATATCTCTTTTTTCCTGTTTTGTTATTATCACGGTTAAATTGAATTTATTGGGTTTTTACTGCTATTGAAGCCAAGTGAGTTTTTCACCAGATAAACAGGAAGTTGTTTGAATGCAAAACTGCATGAATTAAAACTCAACTCAACACATAGAGAACAGGATTTTCGGCATATGAATTATTGATATAAAGAGACAGAATGMGAGAGTGCACATTATAAAAATATACACTGCTATACACAATTAAAATGTTTTTAACTCGGCATGTTACAACTTTTACGCTGCAAATTTGAATATCAGGAAGATATTTTCGACATGTTTAAAAGGAAAACACAAGTAGCGGATCGCTTTTAATCAGTATTTATGAGTTGGTGGTAAGACACAACACAGGTCTTTCCCACACATCTATTAGAACAGGAAACTTTTCAGCTAAATACTTGAACGGGTTTCTCGTTCTGTCTAGGATATGGACGATAGAGTGCCAAGGTTATTTCAAAGAAAAACTTGTTTTCTAACGTTAATTCATCACCTYTGTCCTTTTATATATGGATAACGAGACAGAAAATCAAAAATCTCAACGACTCAGTAGGTGACTCAGTTTAAATAAAAAAAAATCGTTTTTAAAGATATCACGTGTAACTACTCAAATTGTTATCTTTTTCGTCCTTTCTAAAGCAGGAAGATAGAATGGACGAAAGTATTTTGTTGAATGCTTACGTAAATGGTCAAAAAAAACATCTCAAAAACAAACAGTAAAGATATTTGCAGATAATATAGAGACGTAGACCAAGGAGCAACGATTGTGAGGAGAGGGGAGAATATGGGAAAGCTGATAGTGGTCAATCCCTCAACTAAATTATCGTAGGTAAATTAGAAAATCTTTTCTTTTCTCCGCCGATTTGTTTTGAGATTTTCAAAGTCTTAATGATCCACCGCACACTGCAAAGCACTATGACTATTTGTAATCCTTAATTGTTTCCTAACCAAAATGCTGGCAAAATCCCACCTTCTAAAACCCAGATCCTATTGGGATATTTTMATTTTTTGGATAGTTACTTATTATCTATTTGCAGCTCATTTTAAGAACCTCTGTACGTCAAAATATGCAAAATCCTAGCTCGCATTAGGAGCACCTTCAGCTCCTCTTCAAATCAAAACACCATGAAAAATAAAGATTGTAAAGGAGTCACTTATCAGGATTTGGCTTGCTTCGTAGTGACGCTGTATTGCTATTTGGCGAGGATCACTATAACTAGGCTCTCAACATTGAATTGAATGACGCAATTGAAAACCGATTAACGAGTTCTTTTATCTGTCGTCGAGATAGTCAGGCGAAAAAAATATCGGATTTTAACGTGAAAACGTCGGCACAGTGACTTCATCTCAAACTGTGTAATTTGATAGGGTTTGRCTATGCTGATCTTTCTTTCGTTTTGATTTGTTAACTATGATTTTACTAAGTAGAATTCATGATAATATTTTTCCATTGTATTACTTTTTGTTTTTTTTTACTCGTCTTCTCACTTTTTTAGTTTCTTTCTTTTAGTTTCTTTCTTTTTCTAGTCCCGACAGAGATGATGGCTCAGAAGATCTGTTGTTGTCTGTTATTTTTATGTACTTTCAGACACATTCGTGTTCGTATGGTGTACCTATTYTTTGCGCATTCTGCATGCCTAAATGATCATTTTCAACATATCGATCATCTTAATGCAATTTTATTATATGAACTGTTTTTTTGATATTTTTATTTCGAAAACKTCTTCAAATCACTGATGTCACAGTAAAATACTCTCTTGCACGGCTAGCCTGGATGATTACTGAGTAGTTCACGCCCATATCAAATGGCTAATGCCAAGATTCGCGCCTCTTCCTCTCGTGCGTGACGTCATAAGTCCTGGGTCACGAAGACCTGTCACCTAGTCACGTCAACAGGTAAAAATCACGTCAAACCGGAACACCGCCAATCGGATACTACACTCARCAAAATGCGCGATTATTAACAAATTTAAGATCATTTTCTGAAGGAATTCGCTAGAAATTGTTCAGAAGGAGGTCATACGGAAAGCATTCAAATATCTTATTTCAGCAAATTTCAATAAATTGTTCTCTTTTGCAGAATTCGGAGGATTTTCCATGCGTGATTTTGTATATGAGGACGAGTTGGATTCATTTCTGTCTGTTAACACTGGGTTATCAGGTTTAGATGACAGTGAAGATTTTTCAAGTTGAACACGCGAAAACAATCAATCGATAGAATGGGACAGCAGTCATGATGATWTGACCAGGAATTCGCTCATGGACATATTGTATTAGAGAAATGAACTAAAGGTTTTCAGATAGCTCCCATACCATTAATAATGATAAAAGTGATTATAATAACTTAGACATCAATCATAACATATTACTAGCAATGATAATATTGATATATCAAGTTAGATAGAAAGCCGAAGACCAAAGACTACTTGGAGAAGAACGGTTCAGAAGGAAAGGAACAACGCAGGTTGGAAGACATGGAATGAAGCCAAAAGGGCAGAAAAAGATAGAGATGGCTGGAAAGAGGGGGTGAAGGCCTTATGCGCCTACTGGCGCGAGAAGATATGATGATGWTGATGATGATGAAGTTTGATAATGATAATGATGACAATAATTCATATTAACAATTACCACTCATTCTTAAATCATAAGGGGCAACTGAGCAGGAAGAGCTGCTTGGAATGARGTCTCAAAACAGCTGTAACAATATAAAGATCATCATCATCCTGTTCTTTATCTTTATCTATTCTTTTCTTTCCACCTGCACATGTTACAATTTAAACCTCAATCATATATCAACCGATGATAATTGTTGAACTTACGAGCTGATTGATTCTAATTACTACACTATYATAAATTATCACTAAATTTTTTTTATTCTGTCTTGACTTTGTCAGTTCTCTTCATCATGGAATAATTAACAACTATAAAGGATTTAATAATCAAGTTGAACTGCGTTGGCGGTGGGAAAAACATGAAAAACAACGGAGTAAAAGTGCAGGAAAATCCCTGATATTAGACTTCAGTGAGCGTTTATTTACACACTAGAATATGATATCAAAAGCTGTGAACAAATGTTCAATATTATCAATCTCATAATCAGCAATAGAAATAGCAATATAACTGACACAGTGATTGTCATGGTGATGACAGRCTTCAGCWATCATCACGATTGACACACATCAATCAATCAYACGAGCATCCTTTTATTGCACCACTTAGACCTGGCTTCAACTGTATTTGTATGAATTATTTTCAAAAGATCAACAAATTCCAAGCACAGTTATGTTTATATAATTTTCTGAATATATTTAGAGTACGCATAAAGATTAATTATTATCAGTTGCCATTGGTTTCTAGTCAACAGTATTGTGAAGTTTCAGTCGATGGCAACCACCAATTTCAGGCCACGTCAAAATAACTTACCGAAAATATTACCGAGAAATATTACCGAGAAATAAAAGATAATAATAATAAAGAAAGAAAGAAAAAGGATACTACTTTATACTACAACCAAGATTAGAAACCAGTATCAACGCTAGTTCAATATGTAATTTCAGTGAAAATATACCCAACATGATAACGTTTCTTAAAAAAACAGCTTAGRCAAAAACGGTTTTAAAATGTAATCAGTTGAAAATGGCACCTTTTTAGAACACGTGCATACACTAATATTAATCATTTCAGTGGATCTTTGCAGAAAGCGCAAATTAACAATGTTTTATAAGGTGCTTTTGCAAAGCCATGTCGAAAGAAAATCCACTTACTCTGACCGCTGAACCTCACGCAAATAAACCGCATACCGGACTACCGGACCACCGTTTTCGCGAGCACATGTACCTCCACACAGACAGACCAGACACGGGTAAAGCCTCGTTTATGTAGTACTGCTTCCTTTTTAATACGCTTGAATGAAGTACAAAATATAGTAATTGCCGTGTGTTGTTAGGTATAGCGAGTTAACGCGAGTGTGCCTTGTTGTACAACATAACATTAGCACAAGTGCGTTATCAAAGTTTAATCTTCTCCAGTTTAATTTTTTAAGCCTACATGTAAGGCTTACTGTACTGTTAAAAAATAAATAACGAATTCTTAACCTATAAACCAAATAATAAGCAACGTTTAGAGTACATTTTTTTGAGGGATAGTTTATTGAATATTAAAATGCCCAAAATTTAAATGAAATGCGAATAGAAAAAATTGAAAATAAAATAGATGTGTAAAATGCCGTTTAATAAGTTAAATATCGAGAAAAATGCGACACAATAGAGTTTTGGATAGATTAGTGTCTGCAACCAAGCGTGATTAGGGATTTTATGAATAAACCGTTCGTGCAAAGGTTCCAATCATTTGGTGCTGTCACATCAACATAAACAGCCTTCTCGTGAGATAGAGCCAATCAGAAACCAGAATAGCTCAGTTGGCTTTGTGTACAACAAATAAGAATCTATTTTTTGATCAAAGAGGAGAAAGTGTAATGAAAGTAATTACGACGCGAAAAATTTCGTTGTTCGTTCAATTAGTTTTCTATCAGACATGTGGGTGTTTAGTGAGAAATATAAGCGTTTATACAAGGAAATAGTTGCATTAAAAAATGAATAATAAAGATAAGACATCGTCATAATTGGTTAGCGTTATGTTGTGGTATCACAACAATATTATTCAATGTTAGAAGAAAGCAACGACTTGGAATTAAACAATCGATTCCATTAATATTTTTATCTATCCTGTTTCAATAAACTGAAAAAAACACATGCAAAAGTGTTCGACAATTTTCTGCCTGTTCAAGGATGAAGTCAGTTARGGGTCAATATTTCTTTGATTAAACCTTAKATTCTCTTTTGTATGTAGCTAGTGACGTCAGGGAGCTGTCGACCCTCGATACATTGCTAATCGAGAACACTGTCTCGATGTTGTGTGTGTATGTGTGTTGTAGTTTTATATCATGTCGCTACAAAATTGAGAAAAGAACCGATGTGACGTCCACACAAACAACAGCTATCTCTCTTTGTGGAGACTAAATAAAAGGTCAGGCCTACCCTTGGATAAAAAAAGGTCTGAAACGAGTTACAGGAACACTCTTGTTGATTTGCAAAATGGACGAGAAAAGTATGACACCTAGACACCGAGACGTTGTAGTCAAACTTCGGGAACGAATCGAGCAATATAGAAGACGTCACTCTGATTGCCAAACAAAGCAGGAGCGTTCTTTAGCAGTAATAGAAAATCAGGAAAGGCAAGAARCTATTATACTCCAACAACGAGTGTTGGAAGGTCGGAACCCGAAGCTTGTGAACAAATTGAAACAACAAGATATATCGAAGATCGAACATCCATCAAATGGCCTCGAACTAAAGTCCACGAATGCAATTCTCCAGGTAATGTAGCTAGTTTTTACGCGAATGCTTCAACGAAACATCACTAGTTCTAACGCTTTAGGAGTTTTCTGCCTGTTGATGTAAACGATTTCATGTTGATGTACACCGTAAAGCACATGCTTTCTGTATGCAGCTAAGGTTTATGAATTTTTTCTTCACAGCAGCAAATAATCTTGAAGCGGAAACACGATCAGGGGATAAATAACTTGAACTGTGATGGTGAAACTGGGAAAATTGGCGAAAGTTTGTCGAAATATCCAAGGAGCGATGATATTCATGCTACTGGCCTGTCGGCGGCGCATGAACATCAAATGTCTATACACACGGTTCAAAGCGACCAGCAAAACAACCCAGGTAGTCAGTCTGATTCGATAAATGCTGAAAATGTAACTAATGCTTCTCTAGTTGGAAGTAATGGACATTTTGTTGGGGACACTTCGAGGAGTTCACCTTTATTACGAGCCTCAGGAACTCATACTTCAGAAGCTTTTCAAAATGCCAGCCGAGTAGCATCGCCGAACTCCTTACCGCCAACCGAGTTCAAACAAGAATCGCATTCTGTTGCAGTCACTTGCGATGGTGGAAGAAATATGCGCAATTCTAATGCTCCTAGAGATAGCATACCCAATGGAGTTGGGTTAAGCAACTCTACGCGGTCCAGTACGGAGAGTAAAACCGCCGACTCGGTTGCTGGTCAGGAACTACAACAACAACTGAATGATTTTGAACGAGTTCTCATGAAAATTTCTAATAGCGATATGTATAAAAATACGAGTATAAACCCCGATATTTCCAGCCAACATCATCAATTGTCACGACAAACGCCTTCGCAGATCGACCCTGTAACAAGAGACGTTATAAATCCATCACAACAACCTAATGTACAGAATCCATCTTCTGCACCGCAGAATCCTTACCCGAACCCCCCTGCACAGGGCCCCCCTGGACCGACAGCTTTACATTTGCAACAGTTGGCCAGGCAAGCTCAAAATCAGAGAGTCCAAGCAAGTGGAGGCTATATAGATGGCCAGGAACAAGATACTAGTCAGTATAAGTCTCAGCAGATGCCTTTCATGGATGCTTTCAGATTTTCAGCATCAGGGTCACAACAGCAGTTACCAAGTCAAAATAACATGCARCCMTCTCACTTCTCAGCAGCAAACCGATTTCGAGGTCCCATGGCCACCAATAGTGATCARTTTGGCAACATGTACTCAAAAGACCAGAATCAAAATGTGATAATGTCAACAGGATTCCCTTCAACAGTRTCACAATATCAACGCATGATGACCCAAGCACAACAGCAACAACAACAACARCARCAGCAACAACAGCAAGCAATGTATTCAAGAATGACCCAACAAGGAATGGCGCAGCGGCTTTCTCATCCTACCATCCCTGAACACCAGCAAACACCATATCCACAATATCAAACACATCAGACGCGATACAATAATGTAATGCCAAATCTACCAGCTTACTCAACTAGTGGTTATCAAAACATTCGATCAAATCAAAATTTTCAACGTCAAATGTCTATGCCTGCACAGGGATACCATGACCAGTATGCKCAACCGGCTATGAATCAATATCCTCTTGGGGATCAACAAGTTCCAAATCAACCTTCACAGACTGATCTTTCATCATCTTCTTATCATAATTATAACCGGAGGAATTCATTTCCAGTGTAYCATCGAAGTATGAGTCAACCTGTTGCTAATTATGGGCCTGGAGGACCTCATCCAGGAGGTGCCTTGCCAAACAATCCAGGAACACATCCTGGATATCAGGCACAAATGAATCAAATGAGAAACRCTATGCCAGGATCAAACCCGACAAACCCAATGATGGACAATAGAAATAATCCACCTGCGGGGTATACTAATTATAATAGTCGGACTTCTTTTGCATCTCAATCAGGTTTACAAGGACTTATGCAACTTCCTCAAAGAAATGGACCTGCTATGTCTCAGACAGGCCCAGTAAAGGCCAGAACTGATCAACAAAATATGGGTTATACATCAAGCACACAAAATTTGTCACAAGATATGAAGTATTCGACAAGAAATGATATGCCAAAGAACACAAGGGGGCCATCATTTAATGATCCTTTGGCTCTCACAGATCCGACATCAACTTCGAGTAATGACTCTCATTATAACCCGTTTTCGCCATTAGGATCTCTTGAAAAGGCTCCTTCGTTTGCATCTTTACTAGATCAACCCACTGGTTCTCTCAATAATTTGGAGACTACGTACACTGGGTCTATACCGAACCTAGATTTATTAGGTGAAATCATAGGTCAATAGCAAATGATGTGGCAATGCTACCAATACGTATTTGTAAAGCAAAGTGTTAATTTACAGGTTATGTAATAACTTGTTTCAGTGTTTTATTCAAAAAATCTTAAACAAGTGAATTTATTTACAAAAGTATCTTCAATATAGTATAATATAAATAGTAAAATAGCTCAGATCCCTCTTTATATGCACATTTTTACACCATTAACAGTGTGTAAGAGACTCGGTAGGTTACAGTGTAACATAAAGCCAATGGTAGCATGAGATGAACATTTTGATAAGAAACCAAAAGTCATTGATTCGTCAACCACATCTATTGAGCTTTCACATGGTCATTGAGGAGAAATATAGAAGYTTTTCTAAAGACCTCTTAACAATACGCTCATATAACAGTGGAAGTTCATGCATTTATTAATGATCCAGAATGTGTTGTTGGTTTATGTTACACAGTATTCAAATGCTTAGGTTTCAAGATAGGAAGTTTAGAGCAAAGCTTTTAGATGAATATACTTTTAAAGTATTTGCACATTGATACTTTCCAACTTTGTGAATCTTTAAAGCATGAATGGCTCTTTCCAAAGGAGTGTCAGTCACTGATACCAAATGCCAAAAATGGAATAACAATGTATGATTTTTATATTTCATCAAATATCTTTTAATCTCTACTTTGAAATAAGTGTAAATATACATAGATATATGTAACTTAAAATAAAGTCATTGCTGTGCAATACAATCAAATGGTTCTCATGTTCAAAACCTCCACCTGTTGTAGTATTTGTTTTTAATATTCATTTTAATAAAAAAACGAACTAGATGGTCCTCTTGTTCTGAAAACAATGAAGTTGAATGCATCATAGACTCAGAACAAAAAAAGTGAAAAGTKGAATAAAAAACCATCAAGGTATGCTAAGGCAAAACACTTACCTTCCYTTTCCAACCCTCAGCTTATGATTTGAAACAAATTTTTGTTGTTGTTGTATTCAATTCAAATTGGCGAATCCAGATGAATCTTTTCCTAGTTGCCATGTATCGTGTTCCACATGTGAACACGCACGGAAACAAGTTTACTAATCTGATTTACGTGACCACCTGCATTTGACCAGAAATGTGGTTGCACAGGAAGCCAAATTCAACCCTTAATTCTGGATACGCCCATAAGTTAACTATTACCATTATCCATCTACAATTTTATAAATAAAGTTGAGATTCTATGAAATATTTAGTTGTTTCATTTTAAATACAAGCATTCAATAGTAAAGTGTTTTTTTTTTATTTTACTGCATTATCTGTTTCACTGTTTTAATGCTTAAAATTTAAAATTTTTTTCATTTAGAAAGTCCACAAGCGAAGAATAAAGGATCTAGAAAATTAGTGACAACAGTCTGCCATTTTATCAACTTGGGTTTGGAATTTTGTAGCTTCAAATTTGAAACAGTTTGATGTTCAGTTAATATTTTGGATAAAATGTAAAKGTCAAGTACTGTCTTGGACTTTAGAAAACAAAAATGAGCTYCAGCACATCTCAACAAAARTCCCTATCATCACTACCATAGATAGCATGAAGCAAACCAAGACATTCACCTTGTTTAATATTTTTATGCTGCCCTTTAGTTTCTAAATCAGTTTTTTTTTATTTTTCAACAAGAGAATGAACTTTTGAGCAAGTTGCCTTGATAACAATATTTTCAGGTTATGCTACAAGAAGGCAGCCTTCAGCAGTCCATTGCTTCAGTTGCAATAGTCTGATTATGGCCATTATTTGTAAATTGGAAATCTTGGTCAATGCCTGTACACAGGTGCATAGCATGGACGTTTTGGCTAGTACTCACATGTCCAGGACTGTGACACATATTTTGGATATGGGGGTCTAACGACCGTCAAAGGCTGGTGTATTAAGAGTGTCTGGACCTCCCCCAGGAAATTTTGAATAATAACTCTTGGAAATGCGATTTCCAGCGTTTTGAGAGACATCGAGGGCATATACAAGGGATCAATTTTTTGAATTTTTCAGTAATTTTTGTGAAAATTTTTATATTTCCTTGCCCACTAGTACGCATTGCATATATGCGTAAAGGACGCTACCTGCCTGTTACACACACATGAATGACACCATTCAATTATTGCACTCTGAATGATCAGAACTAGCATGCATACCCTTCTCTTTYCGTTCACTTGTTTCATTGAAAATATCCTTGCTTGGAAACATTTCAGAGAAAATATTACATGAAGTCTCATTGCATCCTTTTTTTGTTCTTAAATACCACATTTTGATCATCTTTGTATCTATCAGAGTACATACACAGAAAAATTACACAGAAAAATTCTATTTGTTAGTTACACAACAATGACCTTTAATACTTTGGAGAGATATTATAACATTCGAAGATAAATATGTTTCTGTGCAAACCACATAAATAGCACAAAAAAGGTCCTTTGTTTAGGATTGTCTACTAGATACTATTTAGTAAAAGACAATAATGTTGACATTATTTGTATCGTTAAATGCAATAATTATATATAATTTGTACAGTTGATTATCAGGGAAGATTTAATTTATAGTGTTTATGAACATAGATTTTCTGTTTTTTCCTTATACGTGTACAGTTATTATAAAGTTTTTTCAAACTGTCTTTATCTTTCAAACTGGTGATATGGATCTAAATAAAAGGTACATAGTCATTCAATCCGGTAGCAATCCTACAAAATATTTTCACTCAGATAAATAAACCTCTTTTTCCAAAATTAGCTATTATTAAAATTTATACTTCTTATCTTCTGTCTCTTTCTTCAGAAACTCTTCATGCACAAACAACTCAAGAAACATAGATAAAATAAACACTTCAACACTATTTTTCCAACCTATAAACTTTCTTCTGGGATAGTTTTTCAAACGATTATGTCAGACAATAAACAAGGGAAATTACATCAAGTGTTTCTTGTTGTCAAAAGATAATTCCTGTACTTATTGCTTTTTTAAAGCYGCATCAACATGACTGCTTTTTCTTATAGTGTTTATGGTATTTTTGATTGCCACTAAGATAATTAAAATGTGCAATGAAAATAAATTTGTATTTTGATAGGTCTGAGACAAAGCAGGGAAGCATGTTTGCATTTAAAAAACCCTTGTCAGCTGACTAAAGGGACCTTATTTCACTCAGTATTGTACTCTTGGCCCCTATACCCACAATACCCCTATAACGCAGAAAATGTTTCCAACCTCAGGCGAACTTGTGTCAGTACTTCCCTGAMATTATTTAAGTTTGTAATAAATGCAAATCCCTTTCCTTCAATAGTGCTATCCATAAGATAAATCCTTATCCAGGTGATTTTTATACAAAATCTAAGAATCACTTGGATTATTTTCACCCACACTTAATGCCAGTCCCAAATGATGCTCATTGGAAATGGTAATGGCCGAACTGGTAGTAGTTGTTCTTCTAATGCAGGGACATCGGAGATGGGGGATTTTCCTAGTCACACGAAAATGTAGATGTATCTGATCTTCATTTGTGTTTTTTAGAACATTCCTTAAGGTCTATTATACACAACTTAGTAATAAGAGTTACCATCAGCTACCTGAACTTTAAACACTGTATATATAATTATTGCTAGCCTGCAACTTTGCAAGATATTCTTGCAACTTCACTGAGCTATATGCCTATGCTGGAATGTTCATGAAAAACAAAATATCTAGACATTTGAATTTTAAGTCAGCAATATCARTTTTTAAATGGAAATGCATAAAATCCTAGGCTCACTTCAGTGTGACACAGTTGGATATATGTAAATCTAATGAATTTTATTCCTAGTATTTCTGTCATGTTTGAGTTCCGATTTTCGAATTTGGACTATAAAAACATTCAATGTKAATAAAAGCAATATTTTTCAGTTTTTCACAAGCTGTTTATTCAAACAAGGGTTTAATATGGCTGGTTGCTGATAAGGGAAGTAGTATGTTGAAGGATACATTGAGTGTTGACAGTGATTTCCTTTGGAATAATAAATACAGCAAAGACTTGGGCAAGTCATATGTAATGTATTACAAGTTGAATGATGGATGATTGTCAAATAAAAATAATATAAATAAAGAATTATATTCTGTACTCACATTAATGCCTCTAATACTGCATCTCCTCTAGATTATCTTACTGCCTTACTGCCTATTTTAAAAATGAAACCAGTTTATCTTTGGTTTTGCTCCTCTAACTTAACCAACTACAGCATATATTACTTCAATCATTAAAAACCTTTGCTAGCTGTTGCTTGGTTCATTGCCTGATTCACTGTCTTTTTKTTCTGTGACTTGTGTTGCAAGTAGATTATTCTTCTTAAGATGACAAGCAGTCTTGTATGGAGGGTTTATTGGTTCTTGTGTTGGTGGGAGGGACTGATATTCCTCTCCATTCTTGCCTTCTACATTGTAAGTCTGATCAGAATCAAAGCCACTTAGATCACCACAGGCCAGAAAAGGGACAATTACACGATTCACTCCCTCTAGGCTATTAAATAGAATAATAMAGAGTATTCAAAGTAAATTCCATTACGGTACTTCATAACTAGAAACAGTATACAGGAATTAGCATGCTTTTCATCTGTTATTCCAATTTTGAATAGGCAACCTTTCCATGTTGATGCTACAGCGCTATGGTTATTTACATAGTGCATATTATCACTACTGGTGATCACCATGAGCATTACATTCAATATTTTGATTTTGTCATTTTACATTTTTCTGTCAATGTTAAWAATATCTTTGAAGCTACAAACTGACTCTTTTCCCTCATATTACATGTACCWTTGACCCCTATTTTAAGAGTGTTCCCCCTTGGCACAAAATCATGCTTTAAAAAATTATACCATTKGTAACCTCTGTTTCTCACCTTTCAAAGTCAGGATTTTGATGATTGTTCAGGAGTGGATTTGACATTGTTGGCTTATATCCCTCTGGTGGAGAGTACGACTGACAAACAACAAAACTCTCAATACTAGAATTCCTACTACTCCTTGGTTTACAAATTGTCACTGTAGGAAAGAAAATCTTGAGTTGTGAGTATAATAGAGATACGTCTTTCCCTCTGAAKATTTTAGCTACAAAGTTACCACCATGTTTCAAGACATGAGTGGTTATGTTGAGAGCAGCAAGAAGAAGTTGTCCTTGGATATATTCATCAATGTCATGGAGACCAGTTACATCAGGAGCACCGTCACATATCACAAGATCAGCCTGCTCTCCTTCAAACTGTGAGATAATTTGTTCTGCAGTAGAAGTCTGAAACAGAGCACAAAATATAGATAATTTAGGCAGCCCTTTCAATATTATTATTGATATAGTTTTTTTTGCCTTGAAGTTCTAGGTCTAACATTTATTTATGGGCTCCCTGTGTTTTCTCCCAAATACCTTTGTGATATCTCCTTGAATTTGAATGACTCCCGGTAATGGCGCCATTGCTTGCAGATCAACAGCAACAATCTTAACCTTTTCTTTGCCTTCAGGTCTTTCTTGGATCAGTTTTCTACTCAAAACCTGGCTCCAACTACCAGGGGCTGCACACAAATCTACCACTCTCGTCACACCATTAAACAAGTCAAAATCCTCGTTCAGATGAAGAAGTTTAAARGCACTTCGAGCTCTCCAGCCTTCTTCCTTGGCAAGACGATAGTAAATATCTCGTTTATCCTTTGAAGATCGTCCCATTTTAGCTGAAAACACGATGAACTTTGCGTCACTCACGCATTGTGCAAAGTTTTCATTTAGAGATAAGGAGCCTGGAACGAGTGTTAACACWGCATTATCAGCTGGTCAGCCGCATTTCTTTCAAAAATATGCGCGTAACTTTAAAAAATGGCGGACGATTCACAGGCATTGATGAACAATAAACACCGAAGATAACAATGTAATTTTATCAAGTTTTGTAGCGATATATTTAGTTTTGGTGAATGCACTGCTCTCAGCAACTACTTAAGAAAAAGAATGTCGTCTAAAGCACGCTCGTATGACAGTGGAACTCTTGAAAATCAGTTTCTTCTTCGCCTCCCTCAGGTATTCAAACATAACATACCTTCATTGAATTATTATTAAGTAATAATGTGTGTTTTACGGACTTTATAATTGTTTATTGTGATTTCAGAAACAAGGGAATTTTCTTAGACATGCCATCAATGCTGGAACACTGAAGGATAAACTTTCAATTGAGTTTCAAGGTTATTAACTTACATGTAACTTTAATAACTTAACTTATATTAGACATGCATTTCACTAGGGAAGTACGTACATGTCTCTGAAAATCGGAAAATAGAATGGTTGAAATCAGCCGTCAAAGGAAGCAGAAGGAAACCTTCAGTTTCAGTGAAGTACAAGGGGAAACCTTCTACAGGTTCTGTCTCTGCCTGCTCTACTCATGATACTTGTACATTTACCAGCTTTTATTCTGCTTCCTTCTTCCTCCTTGTGATAGGGACATGAGGTTTTTGCATAAGTTACTATATATAAATCTAGACATTCCATATATACTGAACCAAAATGTGTCAAACAGGTGATTACAGACATGCAACTGTCAGGGTYAATGGAAAGGCATTATCCAGTAAGGTATGACTAAACTGAGAAAAGTAAATACATGTACAAGAGCACAGACTAAAGATCTTGTTTCATTGGTTTACAGCTAGTAGATGTACCATGCGTCATTGAATCTCATAAGACTCTTGATGGAAAAAGTTTTTATAAAGCGGCTGATATATGTCAGGTAAGGTGTTGTCAGTAATGTAATATATGAAAACTTTGTCAGTTTTTCAAACTATTAACTCTGTGTTAATCAGTGGTCAGTGGAGATTCCAAAGAAATTTAGAYTATCTACATCCTTTCCCCACCCCTCCCCCTCTTTGGAAAGTTCAAAATTTTCTMAGGGTTGGAGACAGACTATTCAACAAATTGAAGTTATTCTCTCCATACATTTTGTACATATGGTAACCATAAAACTGTTTTATCTGCTGGATTGGTTGATTTATCTAGTGAATAGTTCTGTTATCTACTGACCATTKTTACAACAGTTACATTTTTCTCATATTTCTTGAGGACTTCTTGCTCTTATCTTTTTTGATGGTTTTATGATGGTAGATGCTGCTGTGTACTGATGCTGATAATGACAGTCCAGGAGATCAAGATGCTAAACATTCACACAAAAAAGAGACAAAGAAATTCATTTGGAATCATGGAAGTATGTCACTGTTTTTATTACAATATATTTAACCTTCTGCTGCTAATCACAAGATCAAGATCATGTTTTAGWGTCAGGTTCCAAAGTTTGATAGAGGATCAAGTGTTTGATATTGAATCTTCTCATCAATGTGGGAAGCATGACAAAAAATCACATTTTCATAAAGCTAGATATGTTGCAAAATGCATCTTTTCACTTCTTTTTTAGTAACTCCACCTCTTAAAAACAGTAGAAAAAGACGATTTAGAAAAATGGCAAAGAAAAAGGTAAGTCTATCCTGACTTCTTTTCAGGAGATTTTAAACTATCGTCAAAAAATGATTTTATGAATTTTAATTTAATTTAATTTTGATTTTAATTTTGATTTTAAATTTCTTAAAAGCAAGTTTGGTAATGAAACTGAACATTATTATCTTTCTTCTCAAGGTATCAGAATCACCGGAAACAGAAAAAGAAGTTAAAAGAATTTTGAGAACAGATCTCAGTGCTGCTACTGTYAGTATCCTTTATGCACTAGCGTTCTTGAAGCTTGTGACGTTGKAGAGARGARWGCATTACTAAGTGAAAAGTCCAGAAATGTCCTTAAGCTGATGTGACACTGACGTCCAAGTCGAGTCGAAACTCAGACACAATTGACAGGCAAAATTCTTATAATACGTAAATTTCAACAGTTAAACAAAGTTAAACTTCAAGACTTCATGGGGGCTAAATGACATAGACAGTGATATCAATAGGGGGCGAGATGGTGGGGCGAGAAGGCATAGTGGGGGCGAGACGGTGGGGGCGAGATGGCAATGGTGTGAGATGACCGGTAACGAGAAAATGTTACTCTAGCATGTGTACAACATCCSTTCACACCTAAGGGGAAAATTTGTAGGGAAGAAGGAGTGGGAATGGGTGTACACAGGCTTAGATCACACTTTAGATGTGTACAATATGTAATTTTATAAAATAAGCAGAACTCTCGAAATGGTTTTAAATGAATGTCATGTGACATTTGCCATGGATTTTCATGTATCTGTATTATTGAAACATGCCCAWGTCTTTGACCTACTCCTAGTATGATTCAATTTTTCCTATTGGAATTCATGATGATAAGATTTGTTAGAAAGTTTCATTTCCTTGATTGTTCAATAGCATTTGAAGTTATTAACGATGAAGAAAAGCCAGACGAATCTAGGAAGTATGCACAAAAAAATAATATTAATCAGAAAATAGACATTATTTATTTATTTTTTTCTGAAATTGAAAAAAAGGAAAAGAAATATACTGTCAAAAGAAACTCATTATTATTTATTTTTTAGTCTTAGTCTTCCATCTGATGCAGACTTATCAGGAATTCATTCACCATCTTCCTCAAAGAATGACTTGTCACAAATAGCAAATAACAGTGACGATGAAGAACGAAATGCACTCCTCAAACTGCTACAAGAAGCCAGTAGTGACGAGGACGATGATGAAGTAGAGCAAAGCCAAGAAAATGAMGATGACGATGATGTTGACGTGGAAGGTGATGAAAATGAAGAATTTGACACTGGTAAGATTTACATAAATTACAAAATGTTTCTAAATTTCAACATTATTTTTCTTATCATTTCTATTTTTTTTGTAYCATTTTTAGGTTTAAAGTCACAGATTGAGGATGCAAAGGAAAAGCTAGATGAAATCAGGAGCTCAAAAGCCCAACAAATCGCTAGAGTTAATGGAGCAGACAATCCATTCTTAAAGGTTGGCATTGTGTCATCTGAAGCAAGRAAAAGAAAAATAAGAAATATAAAGTTCACAATATCACAATACGATTTTAATTTTATTTGAAGTTCTCTAGTGATATTTCTTTTTTTTTGTTTTTCTTTTGTACTTACTTATAGCTTTATTGAATTCCAGGAACGATTTCAGAAAATCTTGGAAGGTATTCTTGTCCAAGAGAAAGAACAGCAACAAGAGGTAACTTTTTAATTTTATTCTTGACATATCCTTCAGAAAAAAGGCAAAAACAAAAAGCAGGGAAACCATGGACATTTGGAATATAGRATTATGTGCTTCCTGTGTTTTTACATGGTGTTGTGAACATAATTTATGTTGTTGTGATATGAACACAATCCTGCTATTTTCCCAAAAGACCTCCTGCTTGGCAAAGTATTTTCTTTGCATGTTTGTGTGATTGGTYAGTTTACAAAATGTCTTTAATTTTGAGCTTATTTTTCCTTTTTCCATTCCAGCTTGAGAAACTTGAGAAAGAGCTTCTTGAAACAAGTGCTTAAACAGCTAGAAGAGTCAATGTACAGTCTTTTGTCTAGATGATACCAGCTTGAAGATCAAGACTATAGTACCTTAAAGACAGTACTATTCATATTGACACACATTGAATCATTCGTACTTTCTGATATAAAACACCCCTTGCTACAACACGTCTTACTTCATCAACTTAGTCTGGTTAGCAGTTACAGTTCTTCCTCTATGAAAAGGGGCTTTCCAAAGTGGTTGAAAAGAGTTTTTCCATTAAGAAAGGGTAAATAGAGGGTAGAGATGGAAATTGGGAGTTTTTATCACAGTAGCCTGAYATATATAAGACGGTACATTGTAATCATTGAATGGTTGGCTGCAATAGAGGTTTCACGGTATTTCAAGATGTTATATATGCTGTGCACCAAAGTGCAACTGATACAAATAAAAATTGATTGAATAAAAATTGGTTTAATTCCTTATTAATTTCTTATTGGTTCACTCCTGAAATCAGTCAAGAAAAAGTTCCMCCTAAATATATACATCCTCCTACAAAGCACTGTTTATGCGTTTTCTAAACAACATTTGAGACACCAGCCAGTCATTTCCATCATTAAATCCGAATGTCTCCGAGCAATACAAAAGAAACATCCTCCAGTTGAAAAGATGTTGGTTGACATTGTTCTCCCCATAACTTGCGGCTAAAATGGCTTTCACTTTATCCAGATTRTCATACAATTTATCAAGCCAAGCATCCAGGGTTTTGGTATAATTCTTTCCATTCACCTGCCAGTGATCTATAGTGTACATATCTCTTTGAAAGTACAAAAACAGGTCACTTGATGGCATAGTCCCTCCAGAGAAGAAGTTTCTTGCCATCCACTCTGTGTCGGATCCACTCTTCATTTTGAACTCGTATGCRTACCTAGAGTGACACAAKACTTGGATGAACAGTAAACCATGTGGTTTTAGCCAGCTTGAAACTCTTGACATTAGGGTTTCATAGTTCTTCATGTGCTGAAATAACAAAGGATGTATTTTAATAATATATCATAATATACCATTTGCCAAAATGGCCACTGCTCCGTTTAACATGATATTTTTTCAACCAAAAACAAAATAAATCCTGAAATTCTAAATAAATCCTAAAGATATGCTTCACTTAGAAGCTTTTATGTGATGGTCCAGAAAACCAAGAAAAGACTAATGGAGCTCTTAAGCAATCATTGGTACAGGGACGGTGCATTTTATTTTTGATGGGGGGTAGGGAGATATTTTCATGTGGATATTTTTTCCTCCTTCCAGCTGCTGCCTGATTTTTTTTTTGTTTGATATTTTTTATCTGCTCTGTTTGATATTGCTTGAAAGGTGAAAAGCCTTTAGTTACTAAAAGTTCTAGGGGGATTCTCTTTACCCTCCATCAAGAATCAAATCATTCTCGTACCCCAGACCCTTTTGAGGATGGAATCAAATGGACTATCTGAGTATGTTTTGTCTCATTAACTTATCTTAGAAAAAGAATTCACACATACCTCGAACATTTCATTGGAAATAATCCTGTCAAACTTCATTGAAGTAGTGAAGACATTTGCATCAGCAGTAATACAGTTCAGGCGATTACTGTAACTCTTYAACTGTGCTTCTCTTTCAATATGTTGTCTTTGTGTCTGGGAGTTTGAGACACACAGGACTTTACAGTTGGGATACTTTTCACATATCCAGAGAGCAAGTGAGCCCCATCCACAACCCAAATCCTAACAAAATTGCAATCAAAACGTTTCGCCTTTAATAATGAATTTCTAAAATATTTAGGATACAACGCGCGCTGTGATTGGTCGAAAACCATGTTTGATTGCAGATTGCACTTGGGATGTAGGGAGAGCACTCGAAAAGCTGGAAACCACTCCGCTACGCGTCGTGGTTTCCAACGCTTCTCTCGTGCTCTCCCTAAATCCCGCGTGTTTTGATCAGAGTATCAAACACGGAATTTTGTCTTTTATTCCTTAAATCAGAAAAATCTGTGTACTTCTCATAATCTTTCCCATTGCTCAGTTATCCCTTTTCATAGGCCTTAGGACTTATGAAATATTCCAATTTGGTAACCAAGAACGACAAGTATCCTATTGAATTATATCCAATTGAATTATTTTAATGTACAAAATTTGAACCACCTATCTGGTGTATTATCAATGTCATGTACCATTATTGTCTGTCCATCTTCAACCTTTGCTCTCTTACAAACCAATTCCATCATCCTCTCTTCAGCTGATAAAGAAAAATCAGAATGCGAAGATTATGGAATTTTTAAATAAACTTCACCCTCCCCTTGCTCTTCGCTCCCACTAACATCACCTTGGGTATAACCCTTTCRATTAGATAGTCCCAAAATGAATATCTTAGATCTTTTCCCATACAAGATGTTAGCCTTCATCAGGCCAGTTATATTGGCTACCTTTTATTTGAATTCAAGCCTCAGATTATCATATAATATTCATTACTAGAGTGTAAGAGGTCTCAAAGTAAAATCATCTTTCTGTTGGCATATGTACAGTCATTAGTTAGCCAACAAAGATGTTAATCCATGAGATGTATATTGCTTTTAATAATTATGTTATACCTAGTCTCCTTCACAGCCTCCCYTTTTGTTGGGCTTCCTGTCCCTCTTCTTTTGGGAGGGACAGRAAGCCCRACAAAAGGGGAGGCTGCAAAAGAGATTATATGTTATACCTTGGTCTATGTYCTTAGTTTCTTCAGTGTAAAGACAGGAGCTGTATTTTAGCCTTTTGCCAAGAATCTGCAATTTTAACACCAAATATGAAAATCCATATAAGCATGTTTGTAACTCTTGGGGAGAGGGGAGGGTGTCATAGTTTGGCTAACTACGGGTGGGTGGATGGGTAGGGGGGGTTGAGTTGTAGTAGTGTTGACATCTCTAAACAACTGTGTACCCACATGAGCAGATGGTAAAATCACTAATAAAGGTTCAATTTAAAGATTATGCGATTCCAAAGTAGAATACTCACCGTCTTGAAAAACTCAGTAGGAACTTCGTAGTGCTGCTCGTTCGCTTTATCCACTTCAACAGCCACCGGAGAAGATCGAAGTTTTTGCACCATTTTCATCTTGTACTCCAGCTTCAACTCTTCATCACCACCACAGTTAAGCTTTTTAAGCCATGAAGATAGATTTTCGCGCACACCGGCRCGGAGAAGCTTATCTTGCTCTCGAAAAGTTGCCACTTCTTCAGACATCTTGCATTGAAAGTTCGCCGCGCCTCGGGACAAATACCACAGGAAGCCCACGAGATCAACTCTTGATTTAGATTTAGATCTTTTGTAATTTTTCTATTCTCTGCGTTGTTTATTAAAAATTTGGGTGTTATATTTGTTTGGGAATTCATATCAATACAGTCCACAAATGATGATAATGATTAATGACTTAGAATCATTTGGAATCATAACTTTTGATCGACGTACGGATACTATAAGTTTCTGCATTGTGATTGGCTGTGATTTTTCTCAAAAAAACAAAATGGCGSTCGTTGGATGCAGTTTACGGAAACCATCACTAAGACGTCATTAATACTATAGATTGAACTGTGCTGTGCTAATGGAGAGGAMGAGCTCAGGCCAAGTCAATTGGACTGATATGTCGTCAAAAGATTTGGAAAAGAAAGACGCGGGTCCTAAATACTCTCGCTTTTCAGAATCTATTCGCCATGCAGCGCCCGGTGCTTTACAATGTTCGATGTTTTGTGGCGGCAAACAGTGTAAATACGAAAATCCTGCCAAATTTAAGAGTAAAGAAATGGCAATTGAAGGACTTTATTCATCTTGGTAAGTAGTGACATAAATGAGACGTTGAAATTGTTAATTTCATGTAATTTGGAGTTTATCTTTTGACATCTTTTCGCGCCCGAATGATGTCTGAAATGGTCTGAGGCGAGAGCTTTGAATACAATCGCTCTGCYATGTTCTTTCAGCATTATCTTATTTTTTTAATGCTCATTTGTTACAGTGTTTCATGGCGGGAGAATATGTGTAATATTGTGTTGTTGTTTTTTTCTTAGGGTTACGGACGACATTCTAGCGACAGCACGACCCTCGAGTGAAATAATCCGACAATACAAAATTATGGATCAATTTAGTCAGTAAGTACGCTTAATAAACCCTTTTTGTTGTCTAAAATTCAGACCAGTTATCACTACAGAGAGTATCGTTTCAATAGTCTATTTCCTTTGATCGTATTTTTTTTTTCTTGTTTTCTTAATCTTGTATTTGAAGTGGCAGGCTCATTTTTCTCCCTAGCAATATGATGACGCTTTTGCTTTGAGTTCGTATTTTCCTTTTTTCTTCTACCAATATTATCATAACGCCTTAAGACAACAAGGTTATATCCTGAAAGAACATTATCCTTGAACTAAATGAACTTCCATTCATTTTACCGAGAGTTTTTTAAATAAACAGGATGTGGAATTCAATATCGGTTACCATGGTGACCACAAGTGAAATAAAGTTTTATATTATTCAAGTTGTCGAGTTTTTCCCATTTTTGATTCTCAGATATGCTAGTATTACATGCAAAGCTTTAAAAGTATATTAAGTTGTTGAATACTGTCAATAAAACTGTAATTTGGCAAAAGGATTTATTTAAATCTATTTGTCTCCACTGTTYTGTATAATGACAAAGACATACAAAAATTTAGTACGGTACGACTTACTTTATATAAACTGACATGATTAAGTATATTAGAGAAGAGAACTGGCATCTGCATRCTTGAAAAGTAGACAAGAGAATTAATTGAGTGGTAGTTTTTGACCAAAAAATAGATTTTGACRACAAGACTGGTTGATATATTATATAAGTGTACATGTATGTCAATGTAAATGATGCATTATGAAGACAACTATAATTATTTTCTCCTTCAGAAATGGTATCAAATCAATCATAAATCTTCAACATCCTGAGGAGCATGCAAGCTGTGGTTACGGTCTTCAAGAAAGTGGATTTTCCTATGTGCCGGAGGAATTCATGCAAGCAGAAAGTAATGGTTCTTAAATCTGATAYGTCATAGGAAATTTATTCAGAAAATATTGAACGGTGGTAATGATCCTGTCTATGTTACGACATGGTTTGCTTTCCTGTACAAGTGCTGCTCGCAGGCTTGCCCTGGAGTCATAAATTGATTAAACTTTTATTAAATGTTATACAATTATTGCTCTTGTTCAATGAAATGCACCTGCTTTTTCAAGGACAAAAGACAAAACTKTCTGTGTTTTCTGAAATATTTTTTACATTGTTATACTCAAATGTTATAAGAAATATAATCATTTCATGATCACCATAATTTTATTAATATATAGACCAGTGATGATATAATTCAAAAGAAGTTTGTTAAATAATCCTCTTTTAAAATATAATATAAATTAATTTAAATAGTTATTAACTATTATTTTTATATATATATTTTTTGTTTCAGTTTTTTATTACAATTTTGGGTGGTAAGTGTTATAATAGTACTACTAATTTAAAATATATTGTTTATATTGATCARTGATAATCATCTTGAATCAACATTTAAGAAAAAATGTTGCAATCCAAAATGTTGCAATCCAAAAAGCTTCCCTCTGGTACAATTCTAACATTTCTAGATTTGGCACGTGTAAATTGTACAAATCCAGRAATTGCTCATCTTCTAAGATATTATCTTTTCCAGGAATGATTATGGTGTTCGCTCATTAGAATCAATATTAGATATGGTTAAGGTCATGTCATTTGCCCTTCAAGTAGGCAAGGTAAATACATGATGTATGATGTGGCATTCTTTCTTGTTCTAATCACATTTTTATATCATCTCTATGTACATCTATTAGAGTATCTAGTAGATGCACTGAAAAATGCAATCTATTTTTAAATAACTTTGAAGTTTTGATCTTTTTCTAGGCTGCTGTTCATTGTCATGCTGGTYTAGGTATGCTCTGGCATCTATAATTTACAGTACATTTAAGTGTTAAAACAGTCAAACATTGTATATTCTGATTGGTTTTTAGGGAGGACAGGTGTTCTTATATCATGCTATCTTGTGTATTCAAGGCGACTCGAAGCTGAAGAAGTGAGCAATAATTTATTAACTGATTCACATAATTTGTTTTATTGCACAAAAGTATACAGGGATGGATCCAGGGGGAGTCATGGATGTACAGCAAACTTGGTCTCCCATGACGCACACATACTGGCCAGTGCTTCTAGTGGTAGATTCAGCTTTTTTATATAATGCCATGCCATAATTTGTATTTGTAACTCATGCCTCATCAAATACATGTAATTTTAAATTAGATGTGATTATTCCAATTGAATTTCATTTTTCTTTTCTCAGGCAATCCATCTAATGCGCAAAAATAGGTATTATAAATTTTGCATTAAATTATGAACACTAACCAAATTGTATATGAAGTGTTTTAATGTCTGTAATGTTGCTTGATCACACAGACCAAAAGCCGTCCAAACTAGAGGCCAAATCGAATGTGTTAAAAACTTYTGGAATTTCTTACAACATCTTTGGATTGTCTTTCCTTCATGGTGAAGAAGTAGTAGTTTATCCATTCTTTTATTGTTTCATTTATTCACCTATTCATCCATTATCCCTTCATCTATGTATTGTATTTTGTCTATTCATTTTAATCATTCTATTCTTTTTCCATTTATTCATTCATTTAGTCTTTCACTCTCTCGTTCATCTATTTTTTTGTTCATTCGTTCATCCAATTTTTATTGTCCATTCATTCACTCATTTGCTTATCCATCCTTAAATTCAGTTGTCCATTTAGTTGTCAATCCATTTTTTCATCCATTCTTTTATTCCCATTCCACCTTCCCGGTTACAATAATGATGATAGTATCACGTCATATTTTCCAGCCATCCAGATTTGAAAAGATTTACCCTCCAACACTACCTTACAAGGCAAAAGCATCTACTACATGGTATGGAAGCAAGAGAACTCAAACATTTACCCAAGGTGTGATCTATATGTTGTTCTACATTTGTTACTTTCTTTACGTAGTTAAGTTGACTTCCTGGTTGATAATGGAAAATAAATAAAAACATTGAATGATGATAATGAATATTCATGAGTGGTGTTGATGATGATGAGTATGATAATGCCAACAATCTTGCAAAACTTTGTGTTCATATTTTGTTAAGTAGAGTGCACGTCACATAAGCATGAAACAATTCTTAACTAATTAGCGCCTAATAAGATTTAGTTATCCACTAACTAAGAGTTTAGTGAGGCATAAAAAAGACAAGTTTCCTTTCTGGCATTGTGTTCATGCCCCAGTGAATTCTTAGTTAGTTGATAACTAAATCTTATTAGGCGCTAATTAGTTAAGAATTGTTTCATGCTTATGTGACGTGCACTCTATTTGGACAGGTTGAAAGGCAGACTGTAGTGCAATTCATCATTTCTGCATGCCTTCCAGATACCACCAATTTCACCTTTTCCCTCTTTGAAATTGTTTTGAGACAGGTTTTAAAAAAAAAACACTTTCTTTCAGATTGTTTGTGTAACATGTTCAAGACTACTAGAGCTGGCTAACGTTAAACCAGAAGACTCCACAATGAAGTGGACTTTATCTGTTGATGCTAAAAGAAAATTCTCAGAACCTGATGAACCTGAACAACCCGAACCTGAATATCCAATTGCTGAGGCAGCAAGTCAGGAAGTTGAGGARCCTAACCTCAAGCACAACCCATATGTGGAGGTTGAATTAGTTCGTAATGATACCCTGAAGGCTTTGAATCGTTCTAATAGCATTGATGATGTCATTGACACAGACTCTCGYCTCGTTGACCCTATTGGTCTACGCATGCCTGTTTTGTATGAACGRTCACGGGCACGCTCAGAACCTGATATACACCACAATACTCCTCTTGTTGCGGAAACTCTTCACCAGTCTCCTAAGGCTAGTGGCAGTATTCATGCTATCCGTCTAAAACCTTTAAATGTTGTGAATAAATCAAAAGAAATAAAGTTTGTTGCCGACGAGGCTAATGTCGAAGACGCAGTAAAAGTTGATGCTATTTCTGACAAGAAAAGAACTCCACCCTCAGTTTCTCAAGAGGACAGGAACTTAATTGCAAGGGCATTGGGCACCAGTGCCTGTGTTGATCCAGGAATTCAAAATCGAACAGATAAACTAAAGGTATTTATGGTCCATGGGTTCCCTGTGTGTTATTTATGTACAATGTGATGGGTTCCCTGTGTAATATACGTAATTGATACTATTCAGCGTAAGTTGAACAGCACAGATGCAGGCTGGGAAGAATTGAAAATGGAGAGTGATCCCTGGGTACTGTCAAGGTTACTCTGGACTTGGTTAGAAGATCTAGAGGTAAAGTTAGCTGTTTGCTCTTCCTTGCTTGATGGACAAGCACAAAGCTTGTATCTAATAGTATTATCAGTCTAGTAGTAGTACATGCATGCTATGTGACTGATGGTCAACAACTAGGTGACAAACATAAAAATTGATTAAAATCGATTGAATATCATCATCATGKGGCTCATACATGAGTTATCAAAGATGACAACATTCCTGTTTGAAATGTTTTACGCATCTTCCTTTTTCAATCTTATTTATTTTTTGTTTTTGCTGATATGAATTTCTTGGTTTATCTTAGGAACCGGTGCTAAGTGATGCAGATATCGATTGTTTGAGTTCAGAGCAGGATCCAATTGCTGCTGTAAAGAAGCTGAAGAAGGTATCTTTTTTGTTGTTTGATTCGTTCATTGCTGTTGTTGTTGCTGTTGTTGTTGTTGTTATTGTTGTTCCGGTCCCGTATGTTGCTTCTACGGTCCTCAATGTCTGTGGTCACCGCTTGGTTGTTGTTACTAGTTAGTTTCCTTCTTTTTTCATACTTGGAATAATTCATCTGWATTTCTTTTAGGGCGAAAAAAGTACTCTTGAGTGTCTTATGATGACAGTTTGTGAGGTACGTAAGCAAACTATAAATGACTAAATCCAAATTTCCCTAATTGTTCTACGGTCCTAATGCTGAGGTAGTAGTAGTTGATGGTACTTAAGTTGTCTCTCATCTGTCTATTGTTCTGTCAGTCAGTCTGCAAGTGTATAAGACAGAGAATCAGTCTTTCACGGTGTTTGTTGATTTGTTACCAAAACAGTTAGTGCGTCTATCCATATGTCAGTCCGTCAGTCAATCAATCATTATATGAGGCCATTAGATACGTCAAGCAACCTATGTTTGACAATTCATCAGTCTATCTGTCTGTCAGTTGATCCGTCAATCAATCAGTCGGTCAGTTTAATAATCAATCAAACAATCAGACTTTSAGCTCATCAATCAATCCGTCAATTAAAGCCCACCAATCCGTCAATCAATCAGTCGGTCAGTTTAATAATCAATCAATCAAACAGACCTTCAGCTCATCAATCAATCCGTCAATCAAACTCCCAGCCCACCAATCTGTCAATCAATCTGTTGATCAATCAGTCCGTCAGACAATCATCAGGCTATCAGTCAACTGTCAAGCTGCTCATCGTTTTATCGCAAGCCTTCTGTTAAATACGTCACAAACAATTAGATATCTCAGTCGAGAGTGAGTTAGTTTTGTCTAGTCTTGGTCTCTTTACTAATCACGTCTTCTAAACTATTCGCAGTTGGAACCTTTGCCTGAACAACTCGAGGAACGAGTGTTGCGTCGYCTCTCCATGGTTCTAACACATAATAGGCAGTTACCACTGACTTCTCCAAGGGCTTCTCTTGATAGAATGTTGTCAACTTCTTCCACGGGGGATCCAGATGACGACCAAARCRCTCCTAAGGGGGATGTGGACGATTCTGCGTTTGACGACAACGAACATTATACAACTGTGTCAACATCTCCCTCTTATCGSCTTCTCTTGTTTCTTCGAATTCTTTTACGGACAATCAAAGGTCAAGAAATAACAGAAAAAACATGAATATTTTAGGTATAACTTTCTTATCTTGACCTTATGTGCCTTTGTACGTGATCTGTGGAATGGATGAGAATGCATTTTCTCGTCGAGGGGTTGCCATCTAGTACTCGATAGTTGTGGTTGTCTAGTCTGCACCTTTCTACATCTTGGTACAGTTGATAGCGGTCGTTTGCGGCCTTTTTGTTGTGGCTAGGAAGTCACGTGGAGTTGCTATCGGTCTATTACTCGATAGCTGTGGGTATCCTACTTAACGATCGACTGAAAAGCGTTCGTTTGTGGTCGTTGTATCGAGGTTGACAAGACGCGAAATCATATTGGTTATAGTTATAAACTATAGAGTATTTGGGTGTACACAAGTTATTGTAAATGTGATATGTGTAGGCGGAATTATGTGCATTACGACCGACTTAAAAGTGATCGTTTGTGGTCGTTGTATCGAGGTTGACAAGTCACATGAAGGGATAGTTTTGTATTGGGCTGTACATAGTTGTAAAAGGGATGTTCTGTGCAGGCGGAATTATGAGCGCATCGATAGCGGTCGTTTGTGGTCGTTGTATGGTGGTAGACAAGTCACGTGATATGAATAGTTATGAACTCTATTTGGCTGTAGATTAGTAAATATTGTAAATATAAGGCGTTTCTTGTAGATCAAATTATTTAAAATATTTAATAATCTATTTCAATATGTACATATATAATTTATTTTCCCGCAAATCGCTTGATTTAATTCTGATAAGGAWTTGTTAGAAGTAAACTAAAAGAAATGTGAAATAACTTAAAACGGTCGGTGTGCGTGCTTCACGCGGCAAAACTTGACAAATAAAGGATTTTCTGAAATAGCGAAACCAGTAAAAATCAAGCGCTGTGGAAACTCMTTTATTCTGGGCACCTTGTTTAACGGAAGGCTTGATAAAYTCCGCTCCRAAGAATAACTGAATGCTACCCATTTGCAGCGGGTGTTCGCTAATGGAGACACTTATTGGGTCACGAAGGTTTCGGTTATGATTAAGGACAGTTAAACTGTTAGCCTAGGCACATGTATAATCTTTTCCTAAAAAAACCGCTCTTTGAACATGGTGTCRTGCTTTCCCTAAAAAAAACCCTGCCTTTGGCAAACAAAACCCGTCATAGTAAACAAACAGGATAACTTGTCATATAAATAATTGGAATTCAATTGGGTATATCAGGACAGGGAAGTCTTATAATCCCCTCTTATTTTAATTGACATGTTTTAGACAATTTTGGTGGTCTGGTTTTTCTGTGGTTTTAAAATGCCAAACTAGTATCGTCGTAAACCCTTATTAAGGATAATTATTTTCTATTTTTGTCATGYTGCTGGTTAGCGTCATAGATTGTAAGCACAATTAAACAAACGTCGCTCATTTTTAATTCATATTGAAAATGATTGGTTTAAAAGAATGGGAAATGCAACGAATGAAAGAGCTGTAATGACTTYGAGATAGCAGTCTTTTACTTTTAACTAATGGAGTTATATAATGAAACCGTTAATGTTTCTATGGACCTTTGTCAGGGGACTTTTGTTATAAGATAAATTGATKTAGAAATCAGACTTTGATCTTTGGAAATCAAATGCGGTTTTATGGAATCCCAAGGTTAGAAAACCCCGGAAATGGCGAGCAGTACAATCATGACCTTTCTTAATGTTCACCCCTCGTRGAGAAAACCACTTCTTCGTATTGTGTAGTCTTTGTAAGCTAAAAAATTGAAGAAGYCACTGCGTTTTTATAATATGATTTGCTGATTCGATAAAGTTGWTTTGTTTTTGTTTTTCTTTGATTYATTGTTTACTTGAATTTTCGTCAATTTTTTCCTTTATTTAAAGACTACATTCTATGCCGACTTGGTATATGTATTAAATAATTCCTTAATATRAAAAAGGTCACACCAAATATCCATTTTCTCTTTACCTGTCAAAAWCTGAGAATCCCTTGAGCACCATTATGTTTTTGTTTGTTTGTTTGTTTGGTTTTCTTTGAATAGAAAAAAAAATCTAGGTTTTTTTTATTCATCCAATTTTATTGGCTCGCTCTCTTCGTAACTTATATCTTTCCCGCTTTATGATGTCCATAGCGTACTCCTATCAGTTCATTAATTAATCGTATTAATTGACCGCTAAGTCAACCCCTTGTTTATCAAGGAATTCATTGAAGGATTTCACCTGTAATGAYTCATATTATTTGTGCACCCATCAAATCCACACGTGTTACACACTCCGAAGAAATATATCGCGGATTTAAAAGATGSTCAAGATTGTGCGAGAGATGACTCAGGAGTTGCAACATTACAAATCTAGTGGATCATATWTTGTAAGTTTTCTTATTTTTCGTTKCATTTTAATTGTTCATGATTAGTTCTATTTTTAGAGTTATCACCATAACGAATCCTGAAAATACTTTTTATCAATCGTTTCAAAGGACAGCGAAACAATCCCWTGTRTTTCCTATATAAGTTGTTGTTCAGTGATTTCCATTCAAGAAGTGGCGGCTCATCTCTTGCTAGCGGTCAGTGTCCACATGATATAGGTAAGTTGCTTTGCCGTGCCAAAAAATGAAAGTTACGTTTTACTGATATTCAACAAATAGCTTTAAAGATTGCTTTTTAATATCAAKTAATCATAAGGGATTATCAAAACCTAATTAATTAGTTTAATATTAGCCTTAGTTCCATCGAGTGTCGAGAATAAGCCGGAATCATAGTACCCAGGCTACAATTCTAGATTAATATTGCTTTTATGTTGTTTTAAATTTTATAAATTACGGACATAACATTTTGCTTGTTATCCTCGTTATAGTAGGCAATTAAGTTAGTATCCACCAAATGGACTATCGCAAATCCAGTATTCTGACCGGGTAACATGAACTGAAGCGAAAATAGTCGAAAAAAAATGTTGAGAAAAGTTGTTATTTTTTAATATTCTTCTGCAAAATGTTTCCCACAATTTGGAGGATACTAAACTTATGGCCTYATGGACCATCAACTCGTAGTTCATTCGAACTCGTGGTTTGATTGATAAAGAAAATTCGATATATATATATATATGTGAGCTTTGCGTTTGTTGTTGATGGGCGTTGTGGTGGCAGTGTGCGTGGGGACTTTGTTGTTTTTGTTGTTGCTTGAGGCAATGAAAAAAAACAACAACACAATCAACAATGAAGAAGTAAACATAGTTATGATAATATTAAAAAATAATRTAAAGTAGTAAATGATAATGAAGATTAAACATCAGCATCTCCCTACAAATTAAAATAGATTAATAGTAATGGCGGAATTTATTCAGTTTATTTTTTATTTTTTGGCTAACACTGCTAATCTACCTTTTTAACTGCTTTTATTTATAACTGAAATTATTGCATGAAAAAATAGACGGTTGGGGGGGGGGGGGGGGGGGGGGGTAAAATGGCTCAAGCTGCACACAAAATGACATTACAAGTGTTTTGGCATGCCGCGCAACAAAAACGAAAACATAGTGTCATTTTCTTTTCATATTACTCCATATTGCYTTTTCTAACACGATAATCGCCACAATTACCAAAATCTCTTATGCTATTATGTCTATAGGTTTAATAAAAGAAAGAGGCTTGTTTACGATTGACGGTACATTGTCATTTTRAATTGTCCAATGATGTGATGGTTAAGATCATCTTAAAGATTTTRGCAAATAACAGTCCGTACCTTTGTGAATTCTAATTGCTGTCAAAGTCACGTTGCARGWCTTTCAAAATACAAATCAAAATCCACTTCTCTTGGCTCCGTACTCTCCGTCTTTGCAGCTCTGGTGTCATGTTTCTCGCCGGTACATATGGCTTGMCTAGTATTCATCGTTAAGGTATCAGTATGACTTATTGAAAGACTGCTGTCACTTTTTTCGGTGATACACCTAATTGCAGAAACGAGTCCTAAAGAAATTGAACATTTGCGCTTTAAAAGGAATATATTAAAAAGTCTGTAAACGTTCATCATGATAGAGTGTGTTTTTTTTTCAATCTTTTTACTGCATTACATTTCCACGAAAGTATTATTGTTTAATTTCTCTATGACAACATTTTGCAATAAGGTGTATCATTCGTTACTTCGATTAATCATTTATTAATCGATGCACTAAGGCTGCATGCACTCGTTGCTTTGCTCAATGGTGACCAACTGATTCATTTAATAGACTGACCTTTTTTACAGTTAAGTGAAGAAATGTTTGACTAGACGCTGGTAATCATTCCTCAATCAGCGGTGTAACCTTGATGCCTAAGTATTTCTGTCCCTARTGTTTATCAAGGAGCATGCAACCTTTACCGTATTTACTTTTCTAACTTAGGGTGAGGAGTTGTCCGTCCGTCGTCAAGGCAAATCCACTGGCTGGTACATCGCTCAGATAGAAGATCAAACTGATATCGAATGGAAACAGCTTCAAGGTGTTGCTAAAATTACATGTTAACAAGTTGCTATTGTGGSCTCTAAAAGCTGGATGCAAAAWTACTYCTTTASTGAACACGGAGCTTMAGAAAAGTTATAATTTGGTAAGTGTCTTGRAGTTTAACTTATTAGATAAGATTTTTGTCAGTATTTTKGGKTWMYTKGKKRARKTTT